GTGTGTGTGTGTGTGTGTGTGTGTGTGTGTGTGTGTGTGTGTGTGTGTGTGTGTGTGTGTGTGTGTGTCAGTAAGCTGGCGCCGGTTAAAGCTTGCACTAAGTCTGTCATGTAGAATTCTAGAAATTTCCCTTTGGCTGAAGCATCCCGCGACAATCTTTTGCCTGTGCTAATGTACATCAGAACGCCGCTCGCGTCGCTGGTCTGGTTGCCAGCCAAGATAAATTTTTCGGCCAAACTTACGCGTTCAAAATAGGCAGAGGGTCCAGGAGAGATGTGCATGGTAAAATCCGCGTTTTATGAAATATAGAAGGATCTGCCGATCGACTATAGCTAGGCGTCTGCATGCCAAATTGCCAACGCGTATTAAAGCGTATCACTATATCATGGAATATTCCTTAGATTCAGAATCTCATACGTCGTACGCAATGAATCCCTCGGGCGTTTTTCATCGCAGTTGATTATGTCATCAAACTTTATAAAGTTGCACAATAAATCGAGTGGAGATGACACAAACACGGAGTTGACGTGGATATTATTTGCGTCTGGAACGATATGGTTGTTGGCATTTGGAATAAACGTAAAGATTGATGATGGATTATTCACGATAAAAAAAATCCTTCGAAATGCAAAAGACTATATTAATAATTAATCATAAACGAATCATTAGTAATGCAACGAAATTATCACATGTTTGGATAAAATTCGGCCCTAAAATAATCCAAGGTATTTCACTGTAGTATGATTATAATAAAAGGATTATTAACATGTGGTATTCATGCCACGTATATTTGGATGCAATCAGCGTAACCAACAGCTACGCACAAATATGATTAGGATAATTATAATATAATTCCTGTTTACTTCATAATGGCACTGCGCCAAATTCTCCTCTATCGTCATCGTCTTGTCCGCGCGTAGATGCCTACGTAATTTGCCTCACGTTCATTGTAGAATAATGAGAAAATTTACCCAACCAAGTTTTTAGCCGTTTTTATTGTAATATAACTATTATTCATTTTTACGTTTCTTATATTTTTCATTCCCTTTGTGATCTTCTCATTACGTAATTCATACAATCGATGTCTCGTGGCTGGTCATAACTGGAATATTAGCAAATTATATAATCACTATATCAATGAGTGAATTACAATTTCTGTTGTAGTATATTATCTTAGACAGTGTTGACATAAAAAATACCGTTTATTAGTCCGTTCTTAGTCCAGCTTCGTTTCCATGCTGAGACAAAAATACCAGAAACTTAAATATTGAATATTGAATATATTATCATAGCTGCCGAATTGAAACGGTTATCGCATAAATTTTTACACACTTTAAGGCAATAATAAAAATGACATGGCCAGTAATTTGCTCCCCCCCCATCCCCCCGAGATGGTATCGACAAAGTCACCTGGCCATGGACTAATTTTTGAACGGTGCGAAATAACCAACGGGGATGGACAGGTGACGTCTGACAGCAGGGTGACGGCGGTGGAAGAAAAGACAACAAAGCGAACAAGCGAAACAAAATCGAAGCCCGTGCGACAGCGGTAATTAAGCATGCATGCATGCGTGCAGCCGCTGGATCCGTGGCAGAGATGATACGCCGCTGTCCTCACGGCGCGACATCGGAGCGTTAGAAATATCGACGCCACCATTGACCGCAGCGCCGGCAGCAGAAGCGGCGGCCGCGCCGCACACCTGCTGCTGCCTAGCAACGAGCGTAGGATCCTCTCTCGCTGCGCGCGATGCTCGCACGGATTCACGCATGCGCATGCGCAGCACTCGCGCTCCTAGCCGTTGCCGAGTGGCTTGTTTATCTCTGTTTTCGTTCTGAGAGCGTCGTGAGCGCTTCCCTGCAGCAGCAGCAGCAGCAGCACACGCAGACGACTGCACTCACGCAGACGTACGTGTGCACGCACGGTCGGGCAGACGCCACGCATGCAGAGTTTACACCGCGCGATGTGAACGCGCGAGGGAACAGCGAGAGACAGCTGCTTGTTCCGAGAGAGACATATGTGTACGTGTGAAAACCGAGAAGCGTGAAAGAGCCGCCAGGGCAACCTGTAAACTGCTATTGGAAGACTAAAGCCAGTGTATCACCACAGCAGCACAGCAGTAGCGGCGGCGGCAGTAAAGTCATCAGCAGCATCACCAACAGTGGCAGCAGCAGCACCAGCAATAACGGCATCAGCAGCAACAATATTAGCAGTAGTGCAGTAGCAGCAGCAGTAGCACTAACACCGGCAGTAATACCAGCATTAACGGCGTTAGTAAGAAACTAGCCACTTACGACTACTAGTATCACTGCGACGGATAGAACCGACGCAACAGTCGATCGACGCCAATTGTGACGTCGATCTACATTAAGTAAGAGCAGACGACGGCGAGCGTGTCAGATACATAGAGGTAGTTAGGGAAAGACAAACAGACAGACAGGCAGGCAGACAGACAGACAGACAGACAGACAGACAGACAGACAGACAGACAGACAGACAGACAGACAGACAGACAGACAGACAGACAGACAGACAGATAGATAGATAGAGAGAGAGGGGGAGAAAAAGAAGAAAGAGAGTGGGCGGAAAACGAGTATGAAAAACGTGTGATAAAGAAGACGAGAGAGACAGAGTGAACGACAAACAGTCAGAGAGGCAGAGAGATAATGAGGGGCAAGAAACACAAGTGTGTTTAAGCCAAATGTAGGAGAGCTAGTGTGGGATAAAGTGACAGCAGCAGCCACAGCAGCTGCAGTAGGCTGACTATACCTACTCATGGTGTGCGACGACTGTCCCCCTCTCCTGCACGCTGACATGTCGCCGCCTTCCCAGCCGTGATGCATGCTGCTGCTAGGCACTGAAGCCAAGCTGTGCGAGGGAGGTCGCGGGGCTACTGGGTGAGATCCCGTGCAGAGTGATAGATATATACAGTTGGGCTGACACCGATAATAAGGTTGCCGCCATATTGATGAACATTGAGGTGAGTACACCCGGTGACCGGGCGCCGCATGCTAGATGGTTAAGGGGTAGAGGAAGAGTTATGACTAGTATTAGAGTTAAGGATATAGGGTTAGGGTTGGGGTTGAGTTAGAGTTAAGGTTAGCGTTATGGTTAGAGTTAGGATTTTTATTTGGGTTAGGGTTAGGGTTAGGATTTTTATTTCGGTTAGGGTTAGAGTTAGAGTTACGGTTAGGGTAAGTAAAGTTTATTTATCACGGCGTTTGATCCGTTATTATACAGAATTTATTTATTTGTATCACGCGACGTTTAACACAGATTTTAAGGCCGATGCAGATTTCGTGGAAGTTGATGGCAAATTCCCGCCATACGAACAATCACGAAGCATCCACGAACATACACGAACATAACAATATCATTATTTATTTCTGAGCTTTTTACGGTCGCCACCTGCATACCAATCAATCCATTGCGCTAGAATGAAAGCTGCCACTTCCCGCGCATTTGTTTTCGTGTTGCCACGTGTGTAAGTGTGTGGACGGGCGAGGGGTTTAACGTGCGCATGCGTTGGTAGGGTATTCGACTTTATTACATTCTCAACGTTTTCGCACTTATTTATTTTAATAATTATAGCCTAAAATAATGCGTGTGATGTCGGAATTTTAAAGAACATTAACAAAAAAATGCACAAATCGGGTCCTTTAAATATATCGGTCATGCATGGAGCCACCAAATGTCCTTAAAAATGTCCTGCGAAAAGTTAATGTTTTTATCTACGTAAATGTGTTACAGTTACCTTGATAAGTAAAGTTAAACTGTGGGGATAGAACTGACACGCATCGGTAGGCTACAACTGTAACGGCGTACGCACGCACGCACGAACGCACGAACGCACGCGTGCGGGCGCGCGCCAGCTTGGATAAACACGACGCATGTTGACAGATTTTAACTCATTGATGACGGCAAACAGCCCGTTATAATATGGGGCTATAGATGGATACAAACACATAAATACATACATGCGTGCGTGCGTTCGTGCTGAGTAAGGCTGCTCAGCAACGCCACGAGCTCTACCTCTCTGCCGATTCACAAATACTGCCATCGGGATTGTCATGAGAGAGAGGGAGAGAGTGAGAGATAAAGAGATGGCGACGGACAGAGAAAACGAGACAGAGACAGAGCGAGAAAAGAGAGAGAGAGAGAGAGAGAGAGAGAGAGAGAGAGAGAGAGAGAGAGAGAGAGATGGCGACGGACAGAGAAAACGAGACAGAGACAGAGCGAGAGAAAGAGAGAGAGAGAGAGAGAGAGAGAGAGAGAGAGAGAGAGAGAGAGAGAGAGAGGGGGGGAGGGGGAGAGAGAATGAGATTATAAGACCGAGAGAGAGAGAGAGAGAGAGAGAGCGAGAGAGAGAGAGAGAGAGGAGCGAAGAGAGAGAGAAGAGAAGAGAGGAAGAGAGCAGAGAGAGAGAGAGATGGGAGAAGGGATAGATGAGAAAACATTGGCTGTACGCAGTGCCGGATTAACCATTAAGCAGA